ACCCTTCCAACCCCCTATAAAACTCCCCATCCCCATTCACAAAACCTCCAAAACGATGCCTGTAAAACTAGCAGAAGTTTTTAAAAGTTAGATCAACTTTCAGACCACTTTCTTCATCAAGATAAGGGTTTCAGGGAAAAGTATAGGAATGTCAGAAGCAGAGTTTCTCTTTTAAAAATCAATGTTTTCCATCAAAAAAATGCTTTACTGAAGATTTACAAGCAATTTTAATTCTAAAAAGACCAAAATTAGGAAGGTACAGGAGATACAGCGACAGAATTTCATTTTCACTTAAGGATTCTTCAATAGAGATAAATTAAGTTACCCCAAACAGCTGCTCAGAGGAAATTTCATTTCACTGAAAATGAGGCATTTTGTGGAACTAGCTTTCATCCAGAAGCACTAAAGGGATGGGCAGGCTTTTCCATATTTTATTGCTTTGTGCCTTGCTCAGAAATCAGTACACACGTAAGGTTCAAACTCACATTTTTTCTAATTCAGAGTACGCAGGGATGCAAAACTCTCTCCTGAACCAAAAAGAGCAGGTCTTGAACTTGAAGCTCCCGTAGTCCATAGCAGTTCTCTCACTGGAGGGGATTCAGCACTCACATACACCTCTTGCCAAATTGCAACATTTGAACAGAAATTCTGTTTAAGCAAAAACATTCAAAAAGTGTTAGTTTTTATTCCAGTGTGGAATTCAAACCAAACTTTGAAACCTCAGAATTGCTACAAAATGGAGTTGTCCTCCAGTCGGCTCAAAGGGCTGCTTTGTGTCCTGGGAGCTTGTGAAATAACTAGATCACAGTCCTGAGTCTGGAACCGAGTTTTGTGACTTTATGCTTCTGGGGATTTTTAAGACACTGGACAAGCTCGCAATACGTCACTATGGATGTGTATAACCTGAATTCTGCTAATATGAAATTTATTCTTGCCCTGCTCTGTGGCTTTCACTAGCAGTTCAATAGAAAGCAACTTTAGAACTCACAAAAGCAGCAGACAGCAAGGAAGTAGTTCTGTCAGTACTGGCAGGGCATTCTGCTGCCCTGCGCATTCAAGTGTGTGTCCTCATTTCATTGCCATTGTTTTATTTCTTGTTTCCAAAGTTCAGTGACACTAAAGCTCAATCAAAGGCACCTAATCCAACCTAAAGAATTTACAGGCTCTTGTGCTTTGAAGCTTCTTGACTGAATAGGGGCTGTACAGTGTTTTCATTTTCCTTGGCACTTGAATTCTGTTCCCTCGAGGCTTAGGTAACATTAAGGGTTGTGCAGATGGCTCCTGCTTAGTTTAAACTGCATACAGGAAGCTTTCTTTTAGCTCAACTTCTCTATTGTTATGCTATATTAATAGGCTCTTTTGAAGCTTAAGAAAGAACTGATCTGACTAAATAATAGTTCTGGGTGGGGAAAGTTATTTAGGAGCATGTTTGCAAAACATGAAAGGCTGCTTCATTTAACCATTTCCTTGCCTGCCTGTGCAGCTGGGTTTTGCTCACTCCATGCTCAGAAAGAGGAAGCTGCACACCCATTTTTTAAATTATGGGGTTTGAGTCATGTGTATTTATTTATAAGCAAATGAACGTATTTATTCTTAGATTCCTGTAGTCAAGCCAGAAAATGTTGGCTAGCCACTATGAAAACATACAGCTATGCTCTGAATTTTGATCCTGTCCTGATTTTGTACACAGATTCAACAGAGAAGTATCCCATCCTTAGCTTGTGCTGGAATGGCTGATTTGATTCTTCTCGTATCATCAGTCAAAATCAAAGGCAGTTCCAGAAGTGTCTTGCTCAGGCCACACCTCAGTGCCACCAGCTCTTTGCTCCTGCTACCTCCTTTAATTCTGCTGTCAGGAAGCTCAATCCCTTCCTAAGCTCAGACTTCAGCCTTGTCAGTCCTGACACCCTGATGGGTGCTCATTCTTGCACTTCCCAAACCTTGAGTGAGACTTGCCTGGTGTCTTAAATACAAAAAATTAGCAGAGCCTTCATCCCTGCTGCTTTAGGTGGGGATGTGTAGCTCTATGCTTTTCACCCCCTGCTTCCTCCAAGGGACCGTGCCAAAGCGGATGTGTCACTTTGCAGCAGGGGTGCAGCATGATACAGTGCTCAGGGGAAGTGGCCAAACTGCTCAGCTTCTGCTTTGATTAAATTTTTTTCTCATTCTTTTTCAAGTAACATTTGCAACATCAACATTTTTTCCCTTCCACCCAGAAATCCCCCTGCACCACAAGCAGAGCTTTCTCTTGTGCAAAAAGAGAAAGAGCTGAAGAGGCTGTGAAGTCTGCTGGAGAGTTCTCAGATGTAGGCCAAAATAACACAGCCTGCTCTAGGGCCTTATAGGAACAATCGGAAATCCTCATGCAGGTAGCCATAACAATCAAGGAGTGAGGGCTTTGGGTGAGTTACTTCTCAAATCTGAAAATGCTTCCAGCTACCTCCAACTGCTTGGACTCATGGGGAGAAATCTGAAAGAGAACTAATATACATCTTGGGGGTTTTGTCACTCATTTAGAAAGACATTTGTATTTCAAATATCTAGTCTACATATTGCAGCCCTGTGGCAAAGAAAAAGGGCTTAAAAGGCCCTAAAAAGACATGTTCATCTCTGTAAAAGAGTATACCACATGATACAGATGACATATTACTCTGTTCCAAGGGCAGAGCCCAAACTTCAAGAATGTTTTTCTGTGGCCAATAAAAAACAAAAACAAAACAAACCCAACAAAATAGAACCCTGAATGTTCAAAAAAAAATAATTTTCTCTCATTGTTACAGATCAGTTGTGTCATATAGTTGTGGCCTGCTTGCAGCCAAAACTCCAAAACCGCTGTCCCACAAAGCAGTCTGTTCTACTCCACCGAGGTGTTTTCCAAGTTCTTTATAAAGCAGATTTTCTGAAAGCAAAGAATGCACATGGGAATAAGCAATGCAAATCTTCTGTTTACTGACAGTGACACTGGACTTTCTAAATATATTCCTCCTGTAAGGGCCATAAAAAAAATGAGGTTTTTTCCCCCTCTGTAACAAGTTGAAAAGCAGAAATGGTGCCTGTAACTTGTGATGAACTTTTAGGTTTGGGGTTTTTTTATTTTAGATTTAAGAATTTTTAAAGTTACTAACATGCCAAGAGAAATCACTGGAGAACAAGGATTTGTGGTTTGTATGGATCTGGAAGGAGAGATTGACTTAAAATAATCTTTTGCTTAAATGGAGGAAATATATTCTTTGTTTGTAGATGCTGCTAGTGCATACCATTGACCTGTGCTAGACTGGGAATGCCAGTGCTAGAAAGGCACTTCCTCTTCCCTGAAATCCTATGAGAGAGGTTAGGATTTAATTATTCGATCTACATCTGGTTGGAGAACCTTTTAAACAGAGGAAGCACATCCTGGTTCAGGATTCAGCTTTTTTCCAAATAAAAAAAGAATACACTCTTCAGATGTCCTGTCACCTGCCTTTGAATAGCTCATGTTTCCTGCTGCTTGCCAACTGGGTTTAAACAGAAAAGTGATTACAAGTGAAATTGGAGGGTCAGAGGTACCCCTTGTTCTAATTGTAAACTCTTTTCTCCCATCCCTTTTAGCATTGCTCACCTTCGTTTTGAGAGGCACTGAGTAGGGGAAATAGAGGCCTGTGGCTAATGTAGTTAGTGACAGCTTCCCTTCAGAGCTTATTGAACGTTTCCTTTTCATATTGACTTATTTGGCCTGATGCACAGAACCTGGGTCAGTGACATGGCTGTATGCATCCACTAGAGTGCCGTGCTGCCAACAAAAGCCGCTTGCTCTACTGCAGTTGCAGCTTCAGTTGTTTTAGTCCATTCAGGTTTGACTCCCAGGACTTCTTCCAATCAATCCCCTCCCTCATGCAAAGACAATATAGTACATTTTATCCAACTCAAAAGGAAGAAATAGACTGAGACATTTCCATGTGTTCGATCAAATCAGGTTCAGATAAACTCTGACCCACTTTTAATCTATTTTTGGAATAAAACTGTTCCCTTTTAAACTGTTTATCTTCCCTAAGAAATACTGAACTAGAAGGTAATTTTTAGAGGTGACAGGGCGGTTCCCATCTCTAGGATAATGATCTATACTTTTCCTGGAATATCTCCCTATTCTAGAATAGGTCCCTGTTGTTCTTCTCTTTCCTATATGTTACACCCCAGAATGTGTTAGTGTGTGCACTGCACCAGGCATGGAGTTTGGAGTGAACCATCTACTGCTTTACAGCAGGACAACCAGTGTACAGTCAGCAAGTGACAGAGGAAGTGTTCAGATACATAAATCCATGCAAAAGTATGTGGGGTGGGGTGACAGTTCTGTACATACCTGTTTACATGCAGGTGTTTGAATTTGTTCTAGCAACAGTCTTTCACATACATCAAAGTATGAGAATGAGCTTTTTCTTTTCAGATAAGTATGCAGGCATATATATTGTGCCTGAATATTGCCATATATATTGGCAAGTTTTGTGGGAACAGGCTTTCTGAAGATAACTTTACTACTAAAATATATTAAAATGTACTAGATCTGGAGTGATAACTGGGAAAGTGGGAGTTCACAGGTTGCATTTTCTATTTATTTGTCTTGGAAAAATTAGTGTGTTCTAATAATGACTGGTTAAATGAGCAGATCTTTCAGGAACACATTGACAGAGTAAGTGCCAGAAACTTTGTCTATTTTATTCAGGAAAGAAGAGGTTTCATCCATAATACATTAAAGCCTGAGAGAAGAACAAAGTTACTAAATTACATTAGGTTCTTTCTCTTTCAGTTCTGACTTTTTATAAAATAAGCAGACGGGGAAGTCCTGGTAAGCAGAGGCCTATATGCAAAATAACATTTTGAAGCAAGAAGGCAGTAACAATTTTTATTACTTACTGTTAGCGGAGAAGATAATATATTGCATTCTGGATAAAAATTATAATTATTGTCAGCCTCCTCTATATATAAACCTGTGATATAATTTAATGTATTTCTTGTGTTCTTTACAGACGACCCTCAAAAGCCACAGGAGAAAGACGAAATTTCCAAAGTCACAATCATAAGTCTTGTCCCATTACTGGTGATTTCTGTTGCTGTCATTGTTATCTTTTATGCCTACCGCACTCATAAGAAGAGGAAACTCAACAAGGCATGGGAAAAAAATGTTAAGCCCAGGAAACATAAGGACTGCAGTGATGTTTGTGCCATTATGTTAGATGATGACCGCTCAGACATCAGTTCTACCTGTGCCAACAACATCAACCACAACACAGAGTTGCTGCCCATTGAGTTGGACATTGTTGTTGGGAAAGGAAGGTTTGCTGAAGTGTATAAAGCCAAATTGAAGCAAAACACATCAGAACAGTATGAAACCGTGGCAGTCAAGATTTTCCCCTATGAAGAATATGCCTCCTGGAAAACTGAGAAAGACATTTTTTCAGATGTAAACCTCAAGCATGAGAACATCCTCCAGTTCTTGACAGCAGAGGAGCGTAAGACAGATCTTGGTAAACAGTATTGGTTGATCACTGCCTTCCATGCTAAAGGAAACTTGCAGGAATATCTCACACGGCACATTATCAGCTGGGAGGACCTCTGGAAACTGGGTGGGTCCTTGGCCCGAGGGATTGCCCATCTGCATAGTGATCACACACCCTGTGGTCGTCCCAAAACCCCTATTGTACACAGAGACCTAAAAAGTTCCAACATCCTGGTGAAAAATGATTTAACCTGCTGTCTCTGTGACTTTGGGTTATCCCTGAGGCTGGACCCTTCTCTGTCTGTGGATGACCTGGCTAACAGCGGGCAGGTAAGTTAGAAGTTTGAAAGGGTGGAAGGGTTCCCGGGCTGAAAAGATGAAAAAAACCCATAAGATGCTACGGCAGCTTTTATTTAAAATCATTAAAAATTAATGCGAACAGTTTTATAAACAAAGAGGCTCTAAACATTAAAGCAACACTGAGAGAAGTGCAATGTAGGTTTTGTTATGATTAGAGAGCTGCATATGTATATGATGCAGCCATCCTCTCACTTATAGTGAGCACATGTGAACTTGTTAGTAACTGTTCATGGTGCTGCTGCAGTGCACGTACACACACACTCAGGATCTGCTTCACGTTGTGAGGTTTTGACACAGTTTTCATGTCTGATGGCGTTATAGTTTTTTGTGAATAGACCCACTCTTGGTGTAGCCCAGTATATGTGAAGTCAGTCTTCTATCCTCAAAGGGTCTAAGCAGACAAGTAGTAATAGATAATAGTTTTAAAAGTAAAAAAAGAAACAACTCTTTAAGATTATGGTACATTCTCTACATGCAAGCAAATGTAAGAATGTCAAATGAAAATAGTTGCCCTGTTGTGTTTTTTTAACTGAGTAGCGTGGATAATACTCATCTACTTGACAGGGATGCCAGGGGGATGTTTATGAATGCTTACAAGACTACATATTTCAAGTATATCTCTAAATATTCTCTCTTCTAATGAAAACTTCTATAGTATAAATTCAGACCATTTATTAACTTAATTCATTCCTAATTATTAAAGTACACATTTTTGTGTATTTTTGTATTCATATTTTTATACATAGGTCACATAAAAGCCTGTCCATTTACACTGACTTTTGCCTCATATCGAACTAATATTTTGGTTTATAACATTTTCAGGGGCAACTCTTCAGTCTGGTTTCAATTCAAATCGAAACCAGCTTCTGCATTCAGTATCTGTGTGTTTCTTCTCCCAGGCCTGCATGTACTTTCCTTTTAAGCCTATCATGAAAAGAAACAGCTAAGACTACAATACGCAGTGCAAAACAATACAAAATGTTTATTGCTCATCTGAAAGACACTTGGTCTGCAGCAATTGCTTCAGGCCCTAAGGGCAGAATTTATCTGTGAATAACCAAAGAGCGAGAAAACTTGTCAGTGTCAAAGTTATTTGATTAAGGAACTAAAAAGGGCTGCTTTCTGTTTTTCCTCACCAAGAGAGGTGCAAGTAAGTTGGTAGTCAGGACAATGCCAGATTCCCCTGGCAGCAGAAAATATGGCCTGTGCCAACTACGGCCTGAATTTTTGGATACATGTCAAATGGCACCATTTTCCTGAAAGCTGAAGTTAAATCACAGCAGAATCCAAAATATGAACTGCAATTTCAGCTCATGAGCTCTCCTTGATTTCTTCTTCTGTAGGTTGGCACAGCAAGGTATATGGCCCCTGAGGTTTTGGAGTCCAGGATGAACCTGGAGAACATGGAGTCCTTCAAACAAACAGATGTGTACTCCATGGCTTTGGTCCTCTGGGAAATGACATCTCGCTGTAATGCTGTCGGAGGTAAGTGCCATCTGTTTTCTTATCTCTAAAAGTATGTTGAGACAGACACGCTCTTGTGGTTGTCTGGCAGAGGGTGATTCTTTTTAAATCTCACCAGTTTTTCTAGTGTATCTGGATACTGTAAATAAACAATCCTTCAGCAGCATGAGATGTACACGTGCATGAGCAGGCTTGAAGGCCAAGCACCTGAGCACACAAGAAAATTACTCCTCAATTGCTGTAAAGATAAATCTGCTATTAGGTAAATCGCTTTTAAGGGTTATTAAAGTCTGGTTTTCCTCTGACATACTGAGTAGTCATGGATTGACTCAGTCTAGTTGATGTCACCCAAAATGATTTGAAACATAAATCAATAGGAAATGTTTAAACCAAGAAGCGATAACTGCCTCACGTTTACTTTCATGTAGTGTTAATTCTCAAATGTAGTAAGGGCCAGTTAAGTGTCACAATTACTAGTTGATAATTTCAGTAAGAGCCATCATAGTGATATAGAAACTTCCCTGCTTTCCCAAAATCACCAGCTGCTGCTTGTGATGTCACAAGAGATCACCCATATGAGAAATCAAGAGATGTTTGCTGTATTAAGTGTAGTAACAAAATAAAAATTATTGGAACTGACTAATAGAACAGCTGCAGGAAAAGCTGCTATGCTTGTTCATATTCAGAGTTTGTTCACTGAAACAAAATCTCGATTTCTCCTTTACCTAAAGCTGCCCCAGAATTCCCAGTGTTGTATGTGCTAGAAATCAGAAGAGTTGCTGTTGAGATATCTGCATTACATATGCTATGTTCGAAGATTTTCACCTTACTTCAGGAACTAAAATAAGACTAAGTTACATATAAAATTCTTCAGCCTGCTGGAATTGTCTAACATTCATTCTAAAAAATTGCTGCACAATCCAGGGCTCACACAGGCAGTCTAAGGAGTGGGACGGTGAAAGATAACACTAATGTGGATATTATAGAAGATATGCAACTCTTATTAGATTTGTTAGCCATCTTCCAAAACCACAAAGGCTCCCTTTTCATCAGGCTCCGCTCAGTTCCACTTTGAAGGGCTGCCATAGACACAGAGACAGGACAATCTTGCACGCTAGAGCAGTACGTTGTGAGGAACACAGTGTACAGGAGGGAAACCAATATCCCAGTGGATATTGGGAAGTGCATAGCTGCTCCTTGTTTCTCTACCAACATCTGTGGGATACCACAAGGGAAGTCTCTGAAGCCACTCTGCACAATGACTATGTGGCTGCACCACGATGTCCATGTGCCAGGAGGAAGGAATGCATCCATCTCAGTCTCCCGCTATGCCTGACCAACGTTTGGTCTTGCTGGGTGGGCTGTATTGTGGGCAACAGATTTGCCCCTGTTTGCACCCTGCCAGGAAAGCTACAAAGCGAGTATGTGTGCAGAAAGTGCTAGCCTAAAAACATGGGGAAAAAAAAGATCTTTTCTAGTCAAACATTTCAGTGAAAAAACATGTGGTGTTTCGGGAACTGAACCTCAGTCTGACATATTCCAAGGCAAACCTATCCATATTTAACAGTCGTGATCGTGCCTGTTTCTAAGAGCATTGGCACAGCCTCAGCCTTTCATTAGCACTTTGTAAATGTGGCTGAGGAGATTTAAAACTTGAGAAAAAAGAACTTTGCTCTGTCTCTTGAGCTCTCTCTGTTTCTTGCATTTAGAAACTCACCTTATTAATATAAATATGAGCTGTTCACTGTGAATCTTTTATCTTTGATGATGCCTGAGTCCCTTCCTGTTCATATTTGCTGAGTATGGTGAAATGGAGATGGTGGCAAAAACAAACCTTATTGCTGCTGTTCTCAGAAGGCAACTGCCTAAAAGAGGATATAAAGGGAGTTTCATAAGGAAGGAAAATCACCAGCATGTTTAGCTAGAAAAGATTGACCCACTTTAACCTTAGGAAGAAAAGCTGAAGTTATTTCAGGAAAAGTAAAGATTTCTCTAACCCAGCATCCCCTTTGCTTTCAAGGTGATAGTTAACCCCCACCTACATCCTGATTTTCCCCTATTCATTTCATCCCTCATTAATTCTCATCTCCGGAATCAAATTTCTTGAATTTTGTTTCCCTATTTCAATAATCTTTTCAGAGGTGAGGTCCCCAGCAAAACCCCAGGAGGAGTACTTGGGCAGATCTGTAGGAGGTGGAACTCGGGCTTAGCATCTCCATCTAGAGCAGTTATATACAACTCCCAGGGTGTAGCTCCCCTGGCTTGTCACTATTACTGAGCTGCAACAGCATTGCACCATTACTCTCATTTCCTTCTTAGATTTTCCCCTGGTTCATGCAGTCTGGCTATCTTTGCAGCCAGCTGGTGAAATACCCTTACAGTGATTCATGACTGCAGCTCCCCCTCTGCTTTCCCTCTCCTATCTGTCACTTATGAGACTCCCTCCTCTCCTCACAGCCTTCCCAAGGAGCTGCCTCTGCTCACACACACCCCTCTTTAATTCCTAAACTATTTGGCTATGAGAAAAATGACTTCACATACACGCAGGAGTAGGCTGACCTGATTGCAGACAGCCTTTTCATAGGAGCCCGAAAGATCTAGGCACCATCTTTGCAGGGCAGGCTTGGCTGCAATTTAGAGGGCAAGAGTGGCAGTCTAAGCAGAGGCAGTCTAAGCAGAGGCAGTCTTAGCAACTTTAGTTAGGGAGGGAAGCATGCAAGGAAGGGAGGCTAATTGCCATTCAGCCAGGTAAAGGTACAGTGACTTATTTCTTTTACAAAGGGAGCTCTTGGGATTCATTTGTCAGCATGCAGGTGTTCAGTGAGTGTAGGAGGTGATGGAGCAAGTCCTTTCACTACAGCAGCTTTGTCAAACACAGTCTCCAAGCAATGCCAGGGCTTTTCAGTCAGCAGACATTTAAACAAAAATACCCAGCAGCACAATCCATACTGTGAAGCTGCTGTAGTAAATAAGCAGGTGGGGATCAGCTTTTGAGAAAGGCCATGCTGTTCATTGTTACTTTGTTGTGCTAAATATGGAGAAGCAGAAATGGGGCACGAGGGAAAGGGAGACAGGCAAAGATCAAGTTTGACTGATTTTTCACCAGAGTATAATTTAAGAGGCATATTTAGAAACTCAGAAATACTACTTTGGGGAGAACTTCGACTGCTACATGCTGCTGTTAACTTGGTATTTCATTCAGCACAACAGCTGTGCACCAGATGCTGCACGTTGCAAGAAATATAATTTTCATCTCAACCACTTGCTTTCAGAGTGACACAGCTTTGGTGACTGAGACAAGTGTAATTTCTCTGACAGCCTCCTAGAAAGAAAAGAAAACCATCTGTTTTGTATCTCAACTGCTATGGGTGAGGGACTGTTGGGGGTGGCAAGGGAGAAAGAGAGGAAAGGGAACTTCTGGAAACACAGGTTTGGAGAAGAGGGGGAAGAGAAACCCTTCAGAAAATGGTGATGTTGCTTGTGCAGTATTGTACTGCCTGGAGTGCTGGCTGGCTTCAGTATAGTAGCAGGGCTTTTTTTGAAATGGCAGCCTTGCTTTACCAGAGCTGTGTTTCATGTGAATAAAACCAGGATTAATCTTATGCTTATTCAGTGAGAGTCAACCAAAAGCCACAGTTTGGCATCTAAACACTTGTGCACCCTGTACCTCACGAAATGTTTAGCTTTCATCATATCAATGTGGAGAGGTGACATTTCTGGCAGCAGGGAACAATTAGATAGCCAGTACAGTAGGGCTGTGCCTGCACAGTGGGCCCTGAGGTCGCTGCAGCTGGGGTCTGATTTAAATTTCTCCTCCTGTGAAGTGGAGCCCAATTAGAGCATGTCTGCGCTGCCCTGGCTTCTGGTAGCATATAACCCTGGCTGTAGATCCACACAGTACAGCCTCACCCCATGACAGTCACCTATGTCCTAGAAATTCTCAAAGTGTCACCACAGTACTATGTGTAAGGTAGCAAGTGCTATCCTTCAACAAGCCCATGTAACAGTAGATAAGGTTACTACAGTCCATGTCGAGCACTGATGTGCTCTGTGTTCCACTAATTTCCCACCTCAGGATTCAACACACAGTGACTAAGCCGCCTGTAACCCTACACTGGTGGCAGAGCTCATGCACTCCCAAACCTTTAGAAGGGTGCCTGTGTCTTTGATCATCAGATATGAAGTCACTTAAAACATGTCTGTGGGAGGGAAACAGTACAATGAGTTCACCCATCCCAATACATCCTTCACCTCAAGAGGGAAACCTAGAGAAATTTGTGAAGTAAGCATTTGACAGCTCCTTAAACTTGGCCATTACACATTACATTACAAACTTGGCCTTGAAACAGCTTTTGAGCCTCTGCTTTAGGCATTATTTTCCCTTTGTGCAACTAGTGCAAGCTAGTAGATCCAACACCCAAATTGCTCTAATATGAAGAAAGACACTATCTGAAGGACACGACCTGTGTGTGTGCATGAGCTGTCACAGTAGCTCCGCCATCAACTAATTTATCCCTTCTGTAGCTGTCCCCTCTTAACTCTAAAGGGAGGGGCATTTCAAAGGGATGTGAAGTTCCTGAACAAAAGCTCACTACTGTGGGCTGTGCCTCACAGCTGATTTTTGCTGGCCTTTTACCTCACTCCTACTTTGATTCTTCATCATCCAGCATGAGAAGTTGTCCCTTAGAAATCAGTAAGATAGATCACATGAGGGAGCATCAACACTGTTTGTGGGTATGCTCTTCTGACCCAAAGAAAGAGAATTTCACTGCAGAAAGCTTGGAGTAGAAAAAGACCACATGAGAGAGCCAAACTTTCCAAACTTTCATCACGCAAAACAAATAGATTTTCAGTAATGTCTCTGGGGCTAAAAATCCCATCCCAGCCTTTCTGAGAGTTTCAGCCAGGCCAATGTCAAAGGAAACTAGAGGTATAGCAGTTAGTAGTGCATGGCAGCTCTCAACCATAAAGATTAAATGCTGGAAGTTAAGGTTGAAGGACCTCTGCCATTATTGAATGCTAAAGGTGCTGTAGTTCATGGTACCTGACGTATTTACAGTACTTCATCCAGTTGCCATTTTTAGTGCCCAGCTGATCTAAAACCAATCAAAAGAAACATACAAGACATGAAAAATAGAATCAGCATCTCTATACAGCCACTCATAGGCCCAAACATCTTAACCTACCTCAAACTGACATCTATTATATCTCCTGTAGCACACAAACATGATCCATGAACAACTCCAGCTATTACTGCAAAATGTGTCTGACACCTGAGATTCCACAACATAAGGATGACTTACTGTGTGAGGATTTAGTGGGCTTTTTTTTCTTTCCAAGGGAAAGAAGAAGTAATAAATAGCAAGAAGATGCTGCATGCTTTTCAAACTGAAGGAAGGCAGAACTGTATTAGTAGAACGTCATTACAGTAAATTGGCATCTGGCCTAAATTTCTCTTTATTTGCCAAAACCAAAAACAAAGCAACAACAAAACAGAAAGCCCAAACGTGAAAAACCTATTCAATCCTTATATTTGGAAGAGGAATGTTAATAATATATAAACAATTTCTCAAGCAGGGAAAATGTATTATGAACCTGTCAATTCCCAGGAAAGGCTTTCCCTTCCCCCACTTGAACCATCTCATGAACCTTCAGATTTAAGTCAATGAGAGGGCACCAGTCAGCACCAGAGCACCAGCTTCCCTCTGTTGGACATACAGACTCCTCTGACTTTTTACATTGCAAGTCTCAGAGCCTTGGCTGGTGTCCATGACCGCTACCACAACTAAACCATGACTGATGGAGATGATGTAGGGAATGGCCATCTAGGTCATGCTATTTAAATTTTCCCAGCAAACGTTAATATTTTGGTTAGCTCTGAAAGTAGAGGTATCTGCACTGTAATCATTGTGCATCCACTGTGTAGTAACCCAGGTCTGACCAGCAAGATGGCAACTTCCCAATTCACTTCTAGGGCTAAAGTCTTGTAAAATTACTTTGGCCGAGTAATCTCAAACTCAGATTAATGTGGGTGAAACTGGTATGCCTTCCTGTGCAGGAAAGAAAGCAAAGCAGACTTTGGTCCTTGAGTCTTAAAGAAAGTGATTTATGTATGAGAAGATAGGAGACTACAACCATTCTCCAGAGCATTGTGTGGACGGTGGTCAGCACCAGATAGTTAGGGAGAAGGAAGGAGAGCTCTGCAGGAGGCATCTGTGGAGTGATCTGCTGCGCTGCACACACAGTTATTTGCAGCTGAATGTCTAAACGTGGAACATTTGAAGCACAAGGTTTAATATCCCTTCCAAAACGTTTGTTATTGTAACTTGGCTCTAGGGTTTTGGAGAAAAGTCCGAAGTTAGTTATCTTCAGTACAACCTTGCTTTTATCATGGACATGACAGAAGGATCTGACCTGTGTTATCTTGATCATTAGTTATTTTCAGTAGTGTTTTATATGATCCCATCCTTACCTTTCTCTTCAAAGTAAACAAAGCCAAGCTTTAGAGGTTCTTTCCATTTCTTCTGGGCCTTTAATCATTACCACCTTTCTCAGAGCTTCTTTTTACACCTTGAGAGGAGTGAACAACACTGAACACTACAGTTGAACTTTGGTTGTAACATTATGCAATGGTACTGTGTCTCCCGACTCGTTCATCTCTCTTCACACTTCATCTAGGCACTCACATGCATTCTCCAGACTGCTTTGTAGATTACACTTCAGTTTTTCTTGCCCTCAATTAATTCCTAGAAAGAAATAAGAGGCAGCAGAACAGGCCAGCTTCATAAATCTTTATCTAATACCAGCAAGTCATTAGGCCTGGGAGTAAAGTCTCCATCTGTTCCCAAAGAAACCACAGCATTTTCTACACTGTGTCAGCATCTACTATAATATTTCCGCTCTCAGAGATTTCTTGAGTTTTCTCCAAAGGTCCCATATGTCTCGTCTTCCTTTCTCTCTCCAAAGAAAAGCAAAGAAAATATGCAACATGCAAACAAAAACTAGAATGGCATCAGCGCCTTCAAGAAGATGTGGCCCCTGCATCATGAGCCAAAACTGACCCATTTTGGGAAAGAGGTCTAAAATAAGAGCAGACTACTACTTTTTACAAAAGAATGTGGCTCAGGAATAAACAAGGGTAGTATGCCAGCTTCCAGCAATTGCTCCTTACTGTATCTTTGTCCTTTTCAAGCAACTATTTCATCCTAGCAATCTGAACATTCACATCTATCATTACCTAGACAGATTTCAGTTTATATTTCACCTGGTAAGTGTGTGTGGACTCCAGGAAACCTAAGGGTGACCAGTTCTTGCAATCCTGGCTCAAGCAAAACTCACCTTACAAATCCTGTGTGTTTTACTTCAGCAGAGATTGAAAGGCTCACAAACCATTATAGGTTACTCTGCTGCTTGAACTGTTGCTAATATGATTATGTGCTAAAGGGTTTAAATGAAAATTGTTTTGTTGGCTAGGAAACAAAAGAGGAGGGAGGGGGAGTGTGGGAGAAACACATTTGAAACATTTTTAAAAATGCCAACTGGCTTTGCTTTGTTTGGAGCTGGTCAAGCAGAACAGTGGCACTGAGTAGCTAATCAGTAGCTCCTACTCCTCCAGAGAACAGCCAGCTCCCTTCACTCTTGGCAGCAGCACAGCCCAGCTGAATACCCTTGTGTTTTCTTTTTCTCTTGTCAGAAGTGAAAGAATACGAGCCCCCATTCGGCTCCAAAGTGCGAGAACACCCTTGTGTAGAAAGCATGAAGGACAACGTCCTAAGAGACAGAGGACGACCTGAGATCCCCAGCTCCTGGCTGAACCATCAGGTAAGAGCACCACATGTGAGTGACTGGGAGCTGTACTATACATTTAGCTGCTGCCTGAAGCCTGAGCCTTAACTCAGTGTCCTGCCCAAAGGCTGGACCTCTCTTTTGCACGAGGTAGAGCTCTGTCACATGGTGACACAGGTGCTGCCATGGTTCAGGCACCACGGTGCCTGCACCATGCCTGCCCCAAAGCCCTGGGATTCCTGCTGCCCACCAGTGTAATCTAAAAGTGATCAAAAGAGAAACGTTGGAAGCCTGAAATCCAACAATCATCCGGAGAGCCACAGGATAATTAAACCCTTAAAGCGCACTGTGTAGGCTCTAAAAGGTCAAAGAGAACAACTTCATACATGGGCCTCTGTTGTGGGCAGAATGGGAGCTTCAGACAAAATTTATTAGAGAAGCCCTCCCATTGAGTCAGGGGAGCAGAAAGGACCCCCTTGCTTTCTAAACTCCTTCTCAGAGAGGAGTGTAAGTGTGGCTGGATCCAATCTTAGTCCCAGATTTTGTCAACAGTTTATGTTTAAAGGATTATGTAGGTGTAATTGAACCACTGTACAACTTTGTTCCGCAGGATCAAGGATGGCAAACCAGGTATATTTATATAAATGTAAACTATTTATTATGATAAGACTAGACAAAAAGATCTTAGAATTATTTATTACACAGAATAGAAATACTAGCATAGTATGAGGCATTATGAAGCAATACTGAAGCAATTACATTGAAGCAATTATATTATATCTATCAAAAACAATTAAGTGGAGTCTGATGTCACCCATTCATACCAACCAACAACTGTAGGCAAATGTCTTCCACTCAGCCTCGAGGAGTAACCTTGAGGAATGGCCACTCAAGGGAAGGTATCTTCACACACACTCCAAGAAGGGGTATGTCAGAAGACTCTGCCATTAAAAAGTGGGACTGGGCCTTTATATTATAAAGTGATTGACTGTCAGTCAGGTGTTTCCAAGCCAGCTGTGTCAGCTCAGCAGCTTTAGATAAGTTATTAGTAGCATCACTTGTTTGTTCCTTTATTGGGCATTTTACCAGGTCTACCACACCTTCATCTCACTATCAGAATGTTTGACTTTGAGTCAGACTGGTTTCAACATTATTCAACACCAAGAGCAGCATGACCCCCTTCTCCATTCACCACTGGTAACTTTGCTGAAGGGTCTGTAGCAGGATGTTCTGCCTGGAATGGGGTAAAATAACTTGAACAGTGCCCTATTTGCAGAGATAACATTATCATGGACACCAGTCATAGCTGTATTCCAACTGCTGACAGGTTTAAGAAAATAGGAAATTAGTCTTCAGCAAGCCAGTCTGATTTTATTCAGGTTATGCATTAGTAGTCCATTTCCCTTGTGTATCATGAAGCACTTTGTCAGCCTTCTCCATTCACAAGCACCAGGCAATAGTAGATTTCTCAGTAGATGAAACGAAATGGAAATAAGCCAAAGGCATGCATTTCTTCACCTTTGCTCTCAGCAGTTTTATCAGTAGAGATAAAATGTGAATCATATCAGGGAAAATGATGGTTGGTCCTTCCACTTGTCGATAAAATATGCTGAGTGGTCTTTACAGACAAAACAAAAGTATTACAAACATTTATAAAAGCCCAGGCAAGCAAGATCCTCTGGTATTTCCATCAGGAGCAATGTAACACTCCCTTTTTCATTCCAGTTGGGAACTTAAAATCATAGTCTAACATCTACTTAAAAAAGGCCAAGTGAGTGGCCAAAATCAGTTATCTTTCCAACCATGAACACCTGCCACCTGATGACTATGGCACAGTGCGACCCCTTCCTGGACTCCAGGGTCTTGTTCCTTATGTACTCAGCTGTGAAGAGTAAGGTTATTGAGGAGGGGGTTTTAATGAGGGAGTAAACTATATTTTGAGGAACACCTGGATATCTGATACTACCAGTACTAAAAGCCCTTGACATTTTTAGAAGCCATAGGTACAACCATCTTCTAAATTACCAGCTTAGCTGGGAAGGAGAGATTATACTATTGTTCATCATCAGAAAAAATAACTTTTTCCAGAAATTTTATCAAAATTGTCAATAAGCTAGTAAAAGGGATCATGAGCTGACTGCAGTTGATTTTTTTTCCATAAAGGCAAAACAAAGTCCAAACTGATAATACATATATAGTACTTTAGAAGAGCTCAATTAACAAAGCAATTAACTGAGCTTTTTATTTGGGAGTAAAAAAGTTAAATATTAGAAAACTCTTAAAATTAGGAACATTATGAGATATTTCTCAGGATATTTAAAAGACATGGTCTCACCTGTGAAAAAAATGAAGGTAAAGAGGGTTAAAGAACTGCTAAGGAAACAGAAGAACAACAGGAAGATCTGTGGTCAGCAAACTTGAGGAAAATCAGAGTTTTCCCAAAAGCAAAAAGAAATCTAGCTTAGTACTTATATGCTGCTGGATATAAAAGAGAGATATTGAATATGCTAGTGCAAGGGCAGAAGTGGTCAGCACTTTTCTGTGTTTGTTAAGAGCCAGATGATGCACGTCTAATAGAAGGTGAGGAAGGCCCCTAAAAGTCGTTGGAACCTAAAGCAGGCCTGGGGCAGTGTTAGGTGGCTCAGAGACTTGCCTAGACTGGGGACAGGGCTACTCCTGCAGGCACTGCAGGGCATTGCACTTCGCAGCAGTACAGCCAGGCAATACTGCTTTGCTGGCTAGGCCTTGGAGAGAAGCGTCCAGGAGCTCACTGCATGCACAGCCAGCTGTAATGGCAGGCTCACGTGTGCCAGCATACCCAGGGCACTCGGCTAGAGAAACACTGGGCTCAGGATCCCATGGTGCTCAGGCATAGGGCAGGCTCGTGGCTGCTCTCATGGCAACAAGGCTGTGTGTGTGGAGGGCTGCAGCTCAAGGTACTGGAGTAGAGCGCTAAAATACACTGTGAATTTCACCACCTCGGGGTTTGTATAACAAGTAAAAAGATCATGGATTTGGACATAGGTATCCTGCATTCGACTTCACAGATTTCTTCCCTGTGTAAAAGACAGACCTTAGTCTGCCCCCAGTACAAGGCATCACATCAACCTATGCTTGTGTGTCACCAAGGTGGGTACAGCTGGCTCCAAAAGAGTTCGGCTAAGAGCTGAATGCAGGGAGTGGATGCCTGACAACACATGCAGAGGACATTTAATGAAGGTGGATTTAATTCCCTTTGCCTGAATCCCATCAGTGTTTCACATTGTGCTATCTAAAATGCAGTGATGCATCAGTTTCCTCAGGGCTGTGACAGTTTGCAGCAGCTGAGGATCTGCTTTGAACTCCATAGAAGTTGTTCTTACTGTAGTAGCTCTTCCATATTCATTTCCTTCCTCTGCAGTCTTGTTTTGGTAATGAACTCATTATTCATCGTGATAAAATTCTGGAATGGCTTTACATATTACAATTACCCCCACCCCTCCCCTAATGAGATTTACTGCACTATTGATTTCAAGTTAATGTTTAATATTTAATTTAATTTACTGCTAGTAGTTTCAATGACAGCATAAAACTAATGTTATTTGTATACAGACAATAACATTCTGCTATTAACATTGACATCAGTCAACATCACCAATTAGGTAAATTATGCAATTAATGCAGTGTTGTGAAATGTTTTGGGGTTTTTTAAATGAGAAGTTTAAGATAAATCCTACTTAATGGGCTTTTAGTGTCATAAAGCAAAACACAGTTTCCTGACAAATACCTCGTGTTTATAAAATGCATTACAGAGATGCAACTGGTTTTTTGCTCCTGTAAACATGTGAATCAGAATTGAAATGAAGGTTAAATAGTTATAACTGTGAGTGACGTGTTTAAGTGTTTCTGGGACTGTGGCCCATATTTGCACGTAGATTTAGATAGTCCACAAGGAATTCATAAAAAGCTGATGTACGGTCTGATATTGCTGGCAATCAGAATTTTGTATGAAAAACCCAAACAGAATTCAGGCACTCAAAGGCATGGGTTAAGCAGGAAGTCATGTTATCGAAGAATTTTGATCATATTTATTAAGAAAACCCCCTACTTGATTCTAATAGCACTAGTCCAAAGCATCATTGTTCTTGTTATAATGTTTTAGAACACATGCCCAGAAATGATAGTGCCAACTAAAGTGCTGAAAATATTGTAGTAGGGTTTCTTTTTGGAAAAAAAAAAAAAGAAAACAATACCCCCATGACAGACACAGCAGAGACCATAAAGAACCTCCAGGACACACATGAGTAACCCCCTGAACTTCTGAGGGCACTAAAGCAGCTCTCACACGTGGGTTTTGGTGGTGACTGGCCCCATCATGGCTGTTCTCTCTGTGCTCCCTGCAGGGCATCCAGATGGTGTGTGAAACTCTTATTGAGTGCTGGGACCACGACCCCGAGGCCCGGCTGACAGCCCAGTGCGTTGCAGAGCGCTTCAGCGAGCTCAAGCACCACGACAGGCTCTCGGGAAGGAGCTGTTCGGAGGAGAAGATCCCTGAAGATGGCTCTGTGACCACTGCAAAGTAGTATGTCCCTGAGAGCTCAAAAATGGAGGGAAGTCACTCCTAGACGTGTTCGCCTTGGCAAAGGAAGAAGTCTTGATCAGTGCCTTGACTTGCTTCCTGGAGGACTGAGGCTGTCACTACTCCCTTTAGGCTGCAACTCTGGACAGGGAGATGTATTCTGTGAATTAAAAGCTGGGGAGTAGCTGTCTTACCCTAGCATTGGCAGCCGGCATCATGTCATAGGAGGAGCTATGTATATTAGCACTTCCTCAGGAAATGAGATTTGAAAATAGCCAATAACATTATGCACTTTATTAATGCCTGTATATAACTACAAAATTGCTATTTTTATATATATATACATATATATAAAAATGTGTGTGTATGTATATATATATATCTATCTATATATCTATAAACATTCATGCTCTGAAAGAAAAAAGTGCTTCCAGGAAATGACCAGTGCATTAGAAATCCCTCCCCTTAGGGAAGGAGCCTGGGGGGACTGGTATAGCACCACACCAGCAATTGTGCACTAAGCGCTCTGCCAAAAAGATAGGAATAACATGCAATAAAAAGATGACTTTCAAAGCATGTGCTGTGATCACCTGGCTGGGGCCCTGCAGTTCACAGTTGCAGGAGCAGTCTCGCAGCAGACAGTCCAATTTGACTTTGCAATTGTACCTACATGATCCTGTCTGCAGCACATTGTGGAAAGTTCTGGGATGCCTTTTTCCTCTCACCTTAACCCCAACGTCCTCACAGTGTCCCAGAACAGGAGTGTGAGGAGGTTTGGTCCTTCCCACATGTGTGTTTTGATACAGAGGTCGTTACTGTTGTATTTTTTTTTTGTTTTGCTTTGAATTCATGCTGTTTGCAAGCAGGTTGCAAAATATGAGCAGGATGAGCTTTCCCCTCCTCCCATCCCCATGCCCAAACCATACAGAACACAAGAGCCAGCAACAATCCAAGCAGATGTTTTATATTTGCTGTGCATTCTGAGTGTGGGCAGTACTATTTTTTTCCCCTCCTTTTACCTTGATTGTGTTGCTGTAAGATCAAACTTCTTTTTTCCCTGTACAGCATGTCTAATTGCTTGATACACCACAGTCTGACTGTGTTCCATACTTTCAAAAGTAAGAGACAACAGCTGGTGCCTTTACTTTTGCAAAAAGACCTTGGAGGTGAGGGAAAGCTCTGTAGCAATAGGTTAATGGCATATCCTGCCCACAGCATTTATAGGGCTGTCTCAGCAAGTCAGCAATTCACAGAAGAAGAAAAAAAAAACAAACCACAACCAAAAACCAAGAAAGACTTTTTTCAACAGGATCCCTTGGACATTGCTTACATTCTTTCAGTTCCCCAAAATGTTTAAGACAGTTGACATCACATTGGGCCTATATAAATGACAGCAATGTTTTTAATAAATGCTAAAAATTTTGTCTTTAGGTGTTTTGCAGTAATTTATCCACTTTTCCCCATGGGATGTCAGCAGGCCTTGGAAGTTAGAAATTCAGCCAGCACAAACCAGTCCTGAACAGATGTATCTGGTGTGATTTTTTTAAATACATTTGACAGATAAACATCAATATGTCACTAGAAGATGTTGCCATGCAACTCAATAGGAATCATGTATTCAAATAGGAGTTAAGATTTATGATGGAAAATATTTTATTTTATTTGAAATGGTTTTGTAACTGCTTTTTTTTTTTCATTTTAACAAAACTACTCAGAAATATTTAAACAGTGCAGGGCAAAATATCCACATCTACAGTGGAATTCAGAGGATACTATATCAAATTTTATAGGGAGGAAATGTTCTTGTAAACTCACAGGGCCACAGGCAAAGGTGGGGGCTGCAGGTGGGGGCATATCCAGGCAGGTGGAATGTCAGGGCCCATTTCTCTTCCTCCATCCATACCGAAAGTCAAGGAATGGCATGTGGTAGTTCCTGACAATACTGACATTTTTATGGGGGTTTTTAACACTACATGTAAAGGGAAATTTTTATTCTTTTAAGGAATATTTCACCTGTACATCATGTATGAAATAGGAATGTGAGCAATATATACTCTTGTATATCAAAAGTTTCAAACACTTAACTTGATTTGTAAACTGTTTGAGGGGTTTTTCTGTCTTGTTTTGTTTTGTATAAATCAAACGTTTATTGGAGCAAATAAAATAACACCAAGTCAAGCTTGTCTCTCATCTCTGAAGCATCTAGAAAAGGGAGAGGGTTCTTCCTAAAATGAACCCTATCCTAAAATTATTGAAGTCTATTCCTTCCTACCAGGGGCCTGAATGTCATGCTTAAGTGTGTCCAACGTGCATATATCCTGCTTTGCTAATGACTCATTCTCCAAGCGACCATACCGCCCTTCAGCAGAACAGCAGTAGCAGATACCCAATGTTGCTGCCCCCTTAGCCCCTGCACTGCTATCCCTTCACTAGTCTCAAAGGAGGGGAGGGAGAAAAGTGTTTACAGCTGATGCTCTCCTACTTGCAGATGGCTCAGTTCTCAGTGTGGATGTGGCACTTAGGGACATGGTTTAGTGGCGGACTTGGCAGTTTTGGGTTAACAGTTGGACTCCATGATCTTAAAGGTCTTTTACAACCCAATGAATTCTGTGGTTCTGTGATAGGGCAGTAGTTAGACCTCAGTCATTTTGATGTTAATGTTAAAATGAGCCAGAAGACAGCCCACTATATCTGTGTCACTGAGAAGTGTATGATTAATGTGTTTGTGCCTTACAGCTTCTGCTCTCCACTCAGAGCTTTTATCCTTCTAAGCTATTACCCCTCCCATGGAAGACGTGCTGAACACAAGCACCACATAAACAAAGATACCTCCCTCTACCCTCTTCAAATTGTCTTGAGTGTGACTTAGGTTGAATCTAAGCCTTTACATAGAGTGCAGTCCACCAGTGGGCATCTGGTATACTCTGGACAACGCCATTTTTTTCACAGATTGTATTTTGGTGCCAAAACCTCCTCTAGCGTTCATGCTTGACTGCACTGAATATCTTCTTTTGAACCTTCAAGTAAGGCTGCCTTAAATAGGAACCCACATGTCTTTGTTCATGAGTCAAGCAAAATCACAGAATAACTGAGGCTGACAGGGGTATCCAGTTCAGTTACTGTCCTTGCCAGTTCTGTGGTCCAGGGTCATAATCAAAATATGAAGCTTGAATCAGGTTGCTCAAGACCTTGTGGAATTTTAAGCATGTTCAGTGCTAATGATTTCACAGTCTCCCTGGGCACCTGGTTCTCTGAACAGAGCAACACATAGCCAATGTCAGCTGTGGTGCAAAGCACAGCAGCCACATTTAATCTATAATTGTCAAAATGGGGCCTTTGTGAAGAAGGCCCTTACTCGGTGCCCCTCACGCAGACAGCTGCAGGTGACCAGCTCTTTCTTCAAGTTAGCTACTCTCTGTCAGGTATGAAACAGCTCTCAGTTTCCCTACAGGCATGCAAAGCCTCACTACCCACACCTCTGTGTTTCCAACAGCGCCCTGCTGAGGTCTAGGCAAGCCCAGCATCATTGTGGTTGGCCCCAGCATGTGCCCACCACTGGCCATGTATTGGCAGAGATTCAAACCCTGACGTCCTGTTTACACTGGCCCAAAGTCTGAGTCCTTTTGGCATAACACAGCAAGTGTTGCAAAACCAAGTATAAAATGAATTTTAAAAATGCAGCAGGCAAACTCCACAGATCTTTCAGCCTTGAAGTACACAATATCCTTGAAATTAAGTACACTATATACTTTTAACAATTTTTTTTTCAATTAAGGCTTTTGCTTACCTTTCTTATCCTAAATATTGTATTCAACATCCTGCTGTAAGCAGCTCTTAATTAGCATGTCAGTCAGCATTTTATCACCAGGGTTCACAGCAAGGAGGCTCAGCTGTGCAATGCAGAAGGCAGACCTTGGATTTACTACTGAACCATGCGGTGGTCTATACTGGATAGCGAAGTTTCCCGGTGCAGCCTACCTCTGTGTTACCAGTTCATGTAATTTCCAGCACAATGGGGCATTCACCCCCTTATTCTACTGAAATAGACACGAATGATAAAAGAGAAAAAAATTATGACCCAGCTGCTGAGGAGAGAAAAAAAAAAGAAATAGAAAGGCATTAAGACACTGTTATTCTGCATGCTCCTGGAAACAAACTGGGCCACATGGAGAGCACCTGCAATATTGTCCTCTTGTCAAGCCAGCTGTGTTGGGGCCGAAGGGCTTCCTTTCCTTCCAGAAGAACATTCATTAATTTATTTCCTGATCCTTAGCTCTTTCTCTCTCTCCTGCTTTTTCTTTTTCTTTTTCTTTTTTTCTTTTTCTTTTTTCTTTTTTTTTTTGGCATTATGTTTCTAATAAAATGCTGCCTGTGGCAATTTTTCCCTCTGGCCACAGAGAAGATGAGTGATTTCTGCTCCAGACTGTCTGCTTGTTCATGAATGGCAGTTTGGCTGCCTTCACACTGCTTATTACTTGGCAAACATTCCTGCAAGTCGGCGCACACCATGTGCATGTTGAGAAAGCTCTTGCTGGGGGGAATAGCAAAAATTCCAGTTTCATTCAGGGTCCGTATAAGTGATGCACCTCATTGCAGGATTTTGGTGCTTGATTATTTTTTTTACTTTCAGGTACCTGTGTCCTACTGGGTTACATTTCCCAGCATGACCCATAAGACCGAGTTGGCTTGAGCCCAAGGTGTCCCAGCCTGGTTGTCCTGAGCACATTTCCTCACCATGCCTTGATCTATTGGCAGATCTCACCTGTTTTTGACCTCTGGCAGCTGAACAGCCTTGCTCATGGGCAGAAAACTGAGGAGATAGTCAGTGGATTGCTGAAATACAGCCAGATTGTGAGGCTCTTGAGAGGACCGAGCCCAGGAAATAGACTTACAGTTCTTCACTAATGAATGCTTTGAGCACCATCTAATCACTTCATGAAGAGGCAAAGGCAAAAGGCAGCTCATAAATTATTTATTGTGAACTATTTGCTCAGTTATAATGGTGATAAAACCATATCTTCAGACAGTTTCATTTAGGTAGCTAAACTCTTAAAAAAATTAGATGGTCACCTGATTGAGTTGGCGTGATTAAACCCTCCCTGCTGAAATGTCTCTTTCACAAGTACACTGCTATGTGAAACAAGGGGGAGCAAAGACCCTTGGCATTTCTTCCAGGGTTAATCATCTCACGTGTGTCACAGGAGAGAGCACTCACAGCTGAAAACACTTCCCCTCTTTCTGCTCCATTGCAGCAAGGCCTTTCTATGGAAGAAACAAAAAGCAATTCACCTTGCATTCTTTTTTCACCCATCCATGGCTTCGAGCCCAGGGTGTCAGCACCCCCGCCCAGCCAATCCTTTCCTCAGCACCTTTAGATGCCCAAACGGGGACTGCAGTGACTTCCCTCCTGCCTCTGGTTTTGGACTGGGGTGCTGGTCTTTCTCTCATTGCGTTTGCGTCTCCAAACAAGACCTGAAACAGATATTTGGGTTTAAAAGCTGAGCTTGCCCTGCACAACCTCGCAAAGGGCACCTCACCATTGCTTCTGCTCAGGCTGGAGCCATGCCCTTCCACGTGCACCCCTCTGCCCCTCGGCCTCATCCTTACCCCAACAGGGACTGCCCTGACCACCAGGGGCTGTCCGTCTCTAGAAACAGCACCTGAGTAAACAAACCCATTGCATACATCTGTTTAACACACTGCCACTCTGCTTATTTAGGGCAGGCACAATGCAGAGAAAGGTAAGCAAAAAAGAACTACACATCAGATGTGTTTCTAAGCAGCTTTCATGGAGATAGATGGTGGTCACGTTTCCAGCCAGGCTTTCTGTCTTTCCGCTCCACGAGTGGTTGCGTGAGGCTCCTCAGACCATAGTTGTCTCCTTATCTTTCTGGAGAAGACGACCACATTGTTCCCTCCTGACACCCCTGAAGTGAAGCTTCCTCCAGTTTGTTATTCACATGAGCAACTCACGTTAGCCCAACCAACTTCACCTTTGACTCTCTACCCCTCCCCATGAATCCCACCCACTGAGCCAGGAATGAAAACACCCCTTTAACATTTCCAGCCCTGTGTGAGCAGGTGTTTCTGTATTGTACAGCTCATCCCCCCACCACTGTAACGTAAGAACCTTTGAAATGTCTTTGTTTTTGCAGAGTGCTTCCGCCCCAGATGCATGTGTGTGGGGTATAGGGAAGTTATTTATTTTGAATGAGCTAAACTGACTTTGGATGCAGATCCTGTTATCAGAGCTGTATGGTGAGCTATAGAAATGGAGCTTTCACCCCACCTCAACAGAGCCCAAACGTGCCGCTTTCCATGCCGCACAAAAAGCTCCAGAAATAGATTTCCTTCTGTTAGAAATACGCCAGGGTCCTCATGATTCAACCTTTCGGGAGACCATTTAAAGTTACAAAATGTTTTACAGAAACTATGGATTGCATCTAATTCCTGCTTTCACTTGAAGGTGAAAACTGTCTTTCTAGTTCTCAAACAGAAGCCAGTATAAACTTCTCCTCAGATAAACATCTGTCTTTCTGTGGCTGCAAATGTTTGGCTCTTCAGGCTGGTCTTTATCTGACTTCCTTATACGTGTATGTGAATGCTGAGAGGATCACTGCACTCATCTAGCAAGGCTGTCTATGCTCTGACTACCCAGTAAAATAAGATTATAAAGATATCTGTATTAAATTGGGAATACATTGTTTGGTAATGTATAAGAAATGCCTCCCCAGACCCAGAAGTGCCACGGGTTGTTGCCTGAGAGAATGAGATGGAAATACAAAGCCTACTTTGGGCTCTTTCAGCACATTATCGCAGTGATTTTTTTGAGCATCATTTAAAGTAAAGTACTATTTTTTGAAAGAGCAAAGCTTTTTACACAGGGCCTGGAATGACAAAAACAGTGTTTCATCTTTGATCCAACAAAACTGAACTAAAGGCTGTCAGAGAAAGAATCCAGTGCAAGAAAACACAAAGCCTATCTGCTCACACCACCAAGAAAAAGAGCTATGCGGTGCTGCCACCAAGGAGAATTATAATTTGCAGCACATGGGTTAGCAGGCAACATATTCAGGTGCAGCCCATCCATAAGAGAGGTACTTAGCAAGTGAAAGATGATAACTGCTAGTATTTGAATCCAGACTTATTTCTGGAAAGGTGATGTTTCCTCCTTTGGTGAAATTAAAGCCAAGGTACCGATTCTCTTCAACCAATTTACTTGCTTTCCATAAACCATCCAGTGCTTCTGGAGGCAAAAGAAAGTAGGTCATACCTTTAATTAGCTAAAAGGTTTTGACAGAACATAAATCTCATACCAACACTTTTAATTTTCCAGTTGTTAAGCCTTGTACAGTTTTACACAGATTTGCTCATGTGCTTTGGCTCAACCCCTTTTGCTCAACTAATCCCCATGTGAGAAGCAGGAGCAGTCTTTCTGTGACATGACAACATCACCAACACTTCAGCCTCACCACTGAGGAGGAGTCTGCAGAGGCAACTTGCAGGGGATTAGACCATTTCTTGCTTTGAATGGCATTGAGGAATGTTCCCGTGTTTCAAGCAAAAGGACATCTCCTATTAAGTAGCAGGTTGCTTAGCTTCTGTACATCTGGAAAGAACATGTAAGCCTTATTAAATAAGGGGGGGTGAGGGAAAAAACAATTTTATTTTAATACAAGAATGTTAACATTAACTTGCTTGCCTTGAAATGATTTCTGGAATAGTTGCTTTAAGAACCTAACCTGAAAAAAGCCATAGGAAATGGAGGAAAGAATTTAAATTAACTTATTTCAACATTTCTAAATTGTTTAGGTTAATCACAGTAAACCAAACAGGATTCAGTCATACTTAAACACAGCCTTTGCCCAAGTATAAACTGTTTACTATAGCCATGACACACAACCAGACAAAATTCATTCCTGATCTGAGGAAGAGTCCAATTTAGTTTTATTATTTGGCAGAGCAAGGTTCACTTTTCAATGTAAAACAGTCTCAAAATCTCCCGAGAGCAAGCAAGCAATTCAGCAGAGTCTCACCATCTTCACCACATCAACGGCTTGGCCTAAAGTTGGCTCCTACAGCCAGGCAAGAGTGGGTCTGCCCAGGGCCACACGGAAGTGGGGCTGCACAAGGAGCCAGGAGAGAGCCTGAGCATGGGCATCAAACGGTCAGACAGCTGAAATTTGGAAAGAAGAAGCCTACTCCATGTGCTTTCATGAGTTTACATTAGGATCATCCCTTCACTCCACTGTAACACTGCTGAGGTCAGTAGAATTGACTTCAGTAATTTGACTTATTATTGTAGCCAGATTTTTAGTACAGACAATGTGCTTTTCCCACCAACAAATGGAGAGTGCTTATAGACTATCTTAAAGACTGGTTGTTCTTTTCTTTAAGTGCCTTTACATTGGTGCTAATAATACAAAGTATTTGGTTCAAAAGTCCAAGCAAGAAATACAATGGATTTTTACAAAGAAATTTTTGCCTTTCGATTTTCAAATGAACATGTTGACAATCCTTGCTGAGGCCTGATTGCCACACATGATGGCTAGGCTGGAGCTCTCTATTTCTGCACTACTTGCCCTGATGTGCAAAATCAATCATGTTAGCTCATGATTGTCAATCATGTTAGAGGAGATGGAAACTTATTTCATGCACAAATGTATGAAAGAAGTTTTGGATACAGGGTCAGACAGGTCAAACAATGATGTTCATCTTTTTCATCTCCTTTTCCGTACGTGGGGCCAACACATTAGCAATTGGAATGTATGAATGCTACCAAGTGAATGTCTACTCTCACCTTCATAGCAACACACGTCTTGCTTGAGACATGTATCTTGGCAATAATAAAATTATTAACTTGAGGATATCAAATGCTCTGAAGAATAACTTGCATCTGCTTGTGACTCCATTTTGCTATACTTTATGGAAAGAGTTACATTTTTAAATAACTACTTTAATTGTTTTCCAGGAGAAATTAAAATGAAATCATAAGTATTATGAGCCACATCTTGTGCTTTCATTAAGACAATAATTATGGGGAAAGGGTTCTTAATCAGGCAAGGGAAAGTAGCTCTTTTTTTTTTAATGTCATATCTCCTACGTGATTATCTCATCAGGCTCAACACTCCAGAACCAGAGCAATATCTTTGCCTTCCAGTTCTAAAGAAACCTGGCCAACTAAAGGTATGTTTTATGAAGAAAAACATTTTAAAAACAAAAACAAAACACCCCAAACAAACAAACAAACCCCAAATAAACAAAGAAAAAAAAAGAAAAAAAAAAAAGAAAAAAAACCAGAGAAAATTAAACCCATCAAGAAAAACTTCTCTCTAGCTACGATCAAACAATAAAAGCCTAATTCATGAAATAGCACAGGATAAGAAAAGGGTGGAAAATGCTTAGTATATTGTATTGTTTCAGCCTGACCGATCTGGGTGAAATTCATCCTCACAATTTCAGATCTATTCAAGCTTCTCTTTGACTATTCCGACTTCCCTGCATAAAATGGGAGTACACGTCTGGCTCCAAATCCAAATGCATGTCCCAGCAACACCATGACTCTGTACCAAGGCAAGACTAGGTACTCCACCATCTTCCCCTCCCAGACCCTTTCTTTCCCATAGAGTTAGCAGCTAGGCACATGGCCTCAACAGGACTTCCAGCACCTTCCAGGCTCAGCTCCATCCACAGCCAACCTGAGGTTCAGCCACTAAAGGACCAAACCCTCTGAGCTGGAACATGACCCACTGAGGATTTCTGAGGGTGCACAGCTTGCTCCTACATTGTCAAAGGGGCGGAGGTGGCACTTACCATTTGAAAGAGTGCAAAAAGAGCTGGAGAACCCATTCAGTTTCCTGTGTCTCAGAAAATTACAAGGGGTGGGAAGAATCAAACTATTTGAAGGCGACTGAAAAATGAGAAGAGAGTAGGAATCAAAATGGATTCATCATGATTTTTTTTCCCTAGAGAGCAGTAGCTCTTGTAAAATGAAGAAGATACAATAAACATTGTATGTCTTGAGCTTAGAAAGGCTTTTAACATCACATCAAGTGATACTCTTGTTCACAAACTAGGGAAATGCTGTCTAAATTCAAGCAGAGTGAGCACTGGCTTGAAAGACATAATAGTTCCTATACAGACTCCCAGGCAGCATTGAGTATGGTTCTGCAGCTACTCTAGTCTAGTTCCTATTCAGTGTTTTAAGTAATGGTCTAGGTGATGGACAAAAATACATGCTTTGGACAAACTGCATCATGCTATGAGAGGCTGCAAGTGTGCTGCAGGACTGATTGACAATTCAAATTGTTCTAGACAGATTGAACAAATTTTTTGAAAAAAATATTATCCTCTTTAGTAGGAGCACTTAAAAAGGAGTAATTAAATGTACAAATATCTAATAGGGAAAAGCCACTTAGAGTAGTTGGCCAAAGAAGCACTAGTGCTCAGAGTGGATCACAAACCTGACAAGACTCAACCACATCTTGCTGTTACAAAAGAGGGCAAACATCATGCTGGGATGTATAAAGAGATGTACAAAGTGATCCTGCCACTCTTAAAACCTGGTGAGATTACAGAGGACTGTTCTGTCTTGTTTTGGGCAGCAGAATAATCAGCAGACTTTCAAATATGGCTTCCGAGGTAAAATGGGAGGAATGACTGTAATGCAGGACTAGAAAAGAAGACAAAGGATAATAAGATTATAATCTTTGAACATGTAGAAGTCACAAAGAAGAAAAATACATGTTGGCCCTAATCATGGTGGAGATCAAGCACAGAAGGGAAAATCTAGATTATTCATTATGAAACAATGGGAAGGCTGCAGGTTGTCCAGCATTTTTGGTCATGAATTATAGACTAGGCAAAGGTTAGACACTAGTTCTCTAGTGTATCACTGATCCTATCTCAGGATGGAGGTCATATCTTCTCAATGACATCTTGAGATCTTTTCCTGCTGCAGGAGTTGCAGGTCTCTGTTCAGTCTGTGCCTCCAAAGGTCTGAGTTCAGAGTAGTCAAGAAGCTGGAAATTTTGTTCTATGAGAAATTCCAAAATATGCTGGAGCACGAAGGCAGGACATCTTCTTTTGCAACTCCCTGTAGAACACTGGTACCTCTCATGGAAAGGAAAATATAACAAAAAGTCCCAACAGTTGGATTGCTTCAGAATAAATGTCCCACTCTACTCTGCACTGGTGCAGACTCGTCTTGAGTCCTGTGTGCAGTTTTGGGCACCACAATATAAAAAAGACGTTAAGCTATTAGAAAGCACCCGAAGTAGGGCAATGAAGATGGTAAAGAGCCTTGAGGGGAAGCCATATGAGGAGTGGCTGAGGGTACTTGGTCTCTTCAGCCTGTAGAAGAGGAGACTGAGAGGAGACCTCATTGCAGAGTACAGGGGAAGAGGAAGGCAGGTACCAATCTCTTCACTCTCATGACCAATGACAGGACTCAAGGAAAAAGCATGAAGCTGAGTGGGAGGAGGTTTAGGTTGGATATCAGGACAAGTTTTTTCACCCAGAGGGTGATTGGGCACTGGAAAAGGCTCCCCAGGGAAGTTATCACAGCAGCAAGCCTGCCTGAGTTCAGGAAGTATTTGGACAATGCTCTCAGGCACATGGTGTGATTCTTGGGGGTGTCCTGTGTGGGGCTGGGAGTTGGACTTGGTGATCCTGATGCGTCCCTTCCAACTCAGTATATTGATTCTATGAAAAAATCAAGCCTGGAAACTGAGCACTCAGAGGCCATACAACTTACAAGAGGCTTGTATGATCCTGACTCCATTTTTAGCCTTGGTAAAAAGAAAGGGTAAGGAATTACTGCTCAACTGAGAGGCTCAAAATAGGGAAAGTGAATTTTTTATGTTGCCCTGAGTTCTTCATTGCTCAGCTTGGATGCCACACACACACCAGTGTCATCATGAGTTACATAGCATGGAAATACATTCTGGTCACTATTTAGGCAGGATGACAAGAAATAATCACAGGTCTGCATATATTTCCCTAAAATCTATTAAAATTCAATGTTTTCACAGGAGACTGCCTAAATCAAAGCAATATTTTCTGACATTCTGGTCATTTTTGCCTGAAGAATCTCAAGAAATTTTACTTCCAATTCCCTCCTCTGCCACATGTGAGACACCCAGGAGCGCTCTTTGGAAGAGACATCCTGAGTGTGGAACAAGTTGGTTACCAGAGGACACACCAGTAGATGGAGCACACGACTCTGCAGTGCTGTGCTTTGGCTCTGTAGCACCAATTAATATTCTCACTGTTCACTGCTCACAGCTTGAGATAAGAGCTGGACCAGTCACTGAGCCTGCTGCCCACATAGCATTTCCTTCCTGCTATACTCCAGATGAGAGGCTAGATCTGCTTTGATGTTTACCACTGAATTTCTTGGATGGTTGACTTTATTTACATGTCATTTAGGCTTAGCTCATACACTGCCATTTATGCTATCATTATACTTATCTCCACAATTTTCTGTTTTGCAAGTGTTTAACATGATCTACCTCTAACCAAGAAGTTCTTGCAGCTTTTTGCAAGTCCTCAAAGACTTCGCACTTTGTTTGACTTAGTCTCCCCTGCCACATGTTCTTAAAAATCACCTAGTTATTCATGCATGTCAAACTCTAAAATTTCCAGCATAGCTTCATCAGCAAACTTCATGAACATATGTCTGATCTTTCTAGAAGGGTTAGTGATGAAAGCATGAAGTTAGATTAGTTCAGGATCAATACCAAGGTATAACTTTCTCCATTATTTGTTTTCATCTTTCACTAGATAATCCTACCCACCTTACATTTTCAGTCCTGCTTCCCATCTTATGTAGGTTTTCCCAAATGATACAACAGCAAATACTTTAAGAGTCCAGTCTAGAAAATCAATTTTTCTATTCCCAGAAATCTCTCTGGCTAGTCTAGTAGCATTTCCCTCTGCTAAGCCCGTATCACAGTATGTCCCATTTTTCACTCACTACTGTCTCCTGGTAGTGACTCCTTCAACAATTTTTCTAAAGCCACGGTGCAAGTTTTCACAAAATAGAAGTTTTAAGTTCCTTGTGTATCATTCATCTGTAAAACAGAACAACTAACATTTCTTTCTCCCACTCTTTGCCTTATTCAGTTTCACAAGGCTAAACTGATCTCCCACGTGAAGTCACGATTTTGGTGTTACCATAGTTCCAACAGAAGTGAGCGATTGTTGTCTGAGCATCTAGATAGGAGAAAAGGAGGGCAAAACATCACATCAATATACCAACCTGGCACTGCTTTTGCTTCAGCTTTCAATCTTACCTCTTTTGCTACACTTTCCCTGTAGCTCCAAATACTGAAAATATCCCTATGAAAAAATGTACAGGCATGAGAGAGGGCACAGAAACAGAGGAAGAATAAAATCCATATCACCTGGCATGAAAAGGGAATATGGATAAAGCTGCCAGTGTCAGTGCATGCCAGATTTAAGGAGTCGCTTCCCAGAATGACAAGCTGGGTAAAAGTCTCTTGGAAGAACAGCGTTGGGCAGAGGACAATATCGACCACACAGTCCCAAAGGCAGATGTTACGTTCCATGGGCCCGTGCTATTTCATGGCAAGTGCTTTTATCATACTTTCTATTTTTAAATAGTTTTGTACAAGTTACTTACATGAAAGAAACTACTCCATCAAAACAGAACATCTGCGTTTGACAGAATTATTAAGAGTCTCCATCCTTCACTTTCTATTATTTACCTTCATCCTTGATAAAATAAAAATTTTACTGGTTTTCTTTAAAAGATTTTAAAAATGTGATCCATTGTTCTTGAGTTGCACATGAGCTACCAAGGCTGAAAGTGGTCATCTTTGTTGGACCTTTTAAAGATTACCCCTTCAGTGTCACTTTTATTATTGAGACTTCTTTAAAACAAACTTTACCCTGATATATACAAAAATCGTTAATGTGTAAGCATGTACAAAGCGTCCAGCCTTCTGAAGGGGTTTCTCTAGGACAGTGGATGGACATGGCATGCTGGGGCAGACTGCTGCAGCGCCAGGGTATGTGCTTCCCCACTCTACCCCTGCAGCAGAGACACAAGGCACAGCCACGTACAATAGATTTAGCTGAGGTTAATCGTTCGCACGACCATTGTTTCCTTCTGTGGGTTTGCCTTGAAACCTTTGACACTCCCCTTATTGCAGTGCAAATTGCCTCATTTTGTTTTGTTTCTCAAAGTAATTTTTGGTTGATTATTGTGTAGTTACAGAATTACAGTAATAACATCTAATTGTACATCTGAAGCAAAACCATGTAATTGTGGGAGACTAGATTCAATTTAAAGAAAGAAAAACCCTCCACCAGGGTTTCTTGTGCTTACAGTGCTTTTGCCAGGCAGTGTTGCTTTGATTGCATCTAACCTGCAATTAGCATGAGCAATTAAGACAAAATTAACGTGTGCAATTGCATTATTTCAGGATGTAACAGTAGTAATATTTAGCAGTTACTGAACTAGACACAGTGCTTATAAGCTCAAATAACTATCAGCATTTACTAGTTACACCACAGAAAGGAGGACAGGTGTGAGTTGGCCCTACCTACAGCAACTGATTTCCAGGATGAACAAGCTTTATTCGCCTGCTGAAAGCCCATGGAAGCAACCAATGGGGAAAAGAGGCTGGGCAGTTTTGGCACTGTTGAAAGAGTGGGACCCAAATGCCACTTTCAGCTTACTTTTGGCTTGTCACAGAGCTCACATGTGACATAATAGAGAGAGCAAGCTTAACATTTAGTATTTCTGAATTATTCTCCTCTGCCTTCAATATTTCATATCAGTTTTGTAAGTCCTATAAAGGTACAAGGATTTAAAAGTAAAAATTACTTGAGCATGAATTAATGCTGTGATCTGTGTATATGAGGAAGCCTCAGGCAACATAACAGGCTTTTACATACTCCTACCATTCTGGGAATGCAACTCTACCAGTTTTACCACGCCTTTCTCAAAGGACATTTCTTGTCCTTTAGGGACAAGGTCAAATGCTATTTGAAAAGCATCTTAATGAACCACTGAAGGATACAAATGAAAATACATTTCAATTCAGTCTCACAGAAATAAAGATGTATCTAAACCTGTAGGCACGACCTCAACTAGATAAACTGAGATGTTCAGAGTGCAAAACTGCTGGTATTAAAATGGAAGATCCCAGTCATAAAACTCAGGGCCCAATCCAGGAAGGGTTTCCAGTTACACCAGTGGGAGTTAGAAGCACTAAAATCACACATAACCACACTCTAATGATTAGTATTAATCAATCACAGAAACTCATAATAGAAGTCCTAAGACGGGGTCTACCGGCTCTAGGCATACTGATTTATGTGAGTGATTTTTTGCACATGGACCCATCACAAAATGCCCAAAGGTCTCCCAAGATGCAGCCACCCAAGCAAGAGCAAAAACTGCCTCAGCATCCCTTCTGTCTAAGTATTTCTTTCCTCTTCTATTGAAAAATTATTAGGGGTAGACAAGAAATTACAGTCAACCAATGGATCAGGTTCTACACTGATTTATGCATGTACCTCACTACTTCCAGAATTTGGTACTTCTCAGTAATTAGGAGCAGGAGTTCATGAGCCAATCTCAACTAGCTAGAACAGACAAAAAAAAATTAAATGCATTTCTGCGCAGACAACTTATCTTCTGCATTTGAAAGCAAGAGTAAGATAAATTGTGACATGTTTTCATCCACAGCGTTTATTAAAGATGATATGGGCACAGCACACAGATAAACCACATCCTGAAGCAGGGTCAAACCAGGTTTCACATTTTAAAGCTGAAGTGCTATCTATCTGGAGTGCTCATAGGTACCTTCTTTATATATATACCCCTGCAGTTCCAGACTGACAAATGACAAACACAGACTATATTTATAAGGCTGTCATTTACTTCACTTTTTATTAAAATCACCAGCTACAAAATAGATATTTTGTACATACTAGTCCTAAATAAGCAACAATAAGAAAATTACATTAGTCCTGAAATACTGTGCACCTGGGACATGATAAAGGGTCAGAAATAATACAAATTATATGGAGATTAGATAAGGTACTCACATCACACTGGAAGGTTAACCTATAGCTTTGAAGAAAACAGTGCACATGTTGATCAGAGACCTATTTTCTGCAAACACAAAAGAAGTTCCATCTTGCTCTCATTTAAAAAGACTATAGCCACTACTGTTACAGAAACAAACTGCGTTACTTCAGTATTACATGTGCCATAAGTGTCACAGTATCTGGAAACAGAGAAATGCACTAAAAACATGAAGAGAAACAAGACAGTAACACTTCTTTGAGAGTGGTGGTGCTGATGAAAGGTGTCATAGCTTCTTCATGGATCAAAAATCAAGTACTCACCATAAACGAAACATCCTGACACTCTATTGTCTTTCCCTTCAAGGTCAAAAAAAAAAGGAGAAGGGATAACAATCTTGTCTAACTCAGGAAGCAACAGCAAAGTCATCCCATCCATCCAGCACTCCTTGTGTACTTTGCACTCCACCCAGAGTGACCAGGAGGCAAAATAAGCCTCATGGGTCCTGAATTTAGGTATGGGCTTTCCAAGATCCTGGTAGCTGGTACAGCCAGAAGACAAGCCAATTAATGATTGAGTGATTTGTGAGTATTAAAAGGCAAAATTCAGGGGCCACATTATGATACTCATTTTTATATTACTATCAACATGGGTTTGGTTTAAAGTTCATTAGATCACTATGATAGCACAAGCGTATTCACCTCCAGGACACTGTTAAAGGCATCTGTCAGGGGCTGCAGGATGATTCTTGCTCCTAACTACTGCTCTGATAGTGCAACCTTCTTGGTTATCATGGCCTTACTAAACTTTTCACACCATCGTCTTGGAGATTGGAAGTAGGAATTCCATGCAATGTTGGATCCTAGTACAGTGTAGGAAATGAAAATGAGGAAGTGCTGTGAAAGACAGCTTTCAGGACAGAAAACATTATAGTAGAAAGGTTCATATTGGTCAGTGCTACCTCAAATACAGAATAAGGAACAAAAATCAAAACATTAGACTTAAGCAGATGTTGGTTACAAGGTGAAAGACATGGCTACTTTCATTAGTTTGCTGCAAGAACTTCATCCCAAGAAATAAATTTCTATCTTTATAAAATAGATCATTTTTATAGAATAAAAACAGATGAAACATATACTTTAACTCTTAACACAAACACAAAGTGCAGAACTTAGTTTTCTAACCTAAGATTGACCAAAAATGTTCAAGCTGTTCATATCCTAAAATCACAGGAAGACCTTCTCTGATCACTACTACTGTAATTTCAGAGTCAAATTACAAATTATACACTGATAACATAAAATCAAGTCATCTCAAATCTGTAGCAAAATACAAAACAAATAATGACAAATAAGTAATTTTGCTATATTATTAATATATAGTCACTATGCACAAAAATATGCATCTTTTGGGTAAATATATATTTTTTCTCTGTTAAAATTTTAAAGTGCATCTAAAAGCTTCTAAATAAATCTTTATACTTTAAAAATAGAAGAAGGTAAACAGTAGTTCAGAAATGGTAGGTAACTCTTGTTAACAAAGAGTTAAGAAATTCTAAGTGTTATTCCAATATTCTCAGCTGTGCTAAAGCGGTGGTGATATTTTGGGTGCACAACACTGGCAAACACTGACTGGACCCAATGACTGTGTTTCCTAGAATCACAAAATCCTGTAGGTTGGAACGGACCTTAATAGGTCACCTAGTTCAACCTGCTCAAAGCAGGGTCAATATTGGTTACTTAGGACTTTGTGCAGGAGGTTCCTGCAAACCTCCCAGAGTGGTGACTGCAGTGAGCCTCATTCCAGTCTGCCTGTGCTCACAGCAGAAAACCTGGGCAATCCACTTAGCTAGGGCCCTTGAGGAATTCTTCATATAAGTTCAAAATTTCCAGTCTTATCAGTTTAATTACCAACCAAACTAAAATATTGACAGAGTAGATAATTAACTAGCATCTTAAGGCTCACTGAGCTAAACCACTTCTCACAGCAACTTCAGAGGAATATTGCCTGCATACGCAAGTGACCAGTTTGAGCTACACTGTGCACAGGCACCCAGAAAATAGCTGCCTTCCCTGGGACACAGATACCATTTGCAGAAGCGCGCCCGAGGAAACACTTCTTAGAACGGCAGCAATGGTGCTGCAAGCACCAGCCTGTCCCAGCCCCCATCAGCAAATACTTTCCAGTGAAGGGGTGTTCTACCTGCAAAGTTCTCAACTTCAATCTATACAACGACAGTTTCCAAACTACATGTCAAGCTTTTTACTACCTTTCACAGAATAA